AAATCAGACTGCTATGTATCCAAACCTCTATTTGAATTCAGTTTATATCCTACTTTGTAGGAAGGTGACAGACATTTTCCATCGTAATACATTTTAATGGTGCTGTGTTCTTTGGTTCCTGAAGAGCCCTGCCGTGTCCCTCAGTGAAGCACAGCGATGAGTGGGGGGACCCCAGTAAATGTGAAAGCGGAGAAAGCTGCCAGTACTGCCACACACGGACAGAACAGCAGTTCCACCCGGAGGTATATCACACTCAATCTAACACAGCTGGACTCTGTTTAACATCAGCATTTACTGTAAGAACAAGGATCCATGTTCTTGCATGGTACTTATGGATGTAATGTAATAAAGCAGTGACTATTTGATTATGCTGTGCTTGTGATGCTCATTAGAGTTGCTATTTTGTTTGGCCCTATGGCGTAAGAGGCTCTTTTTTAAGATTATAGATTAGTGGTGTTAATATTAGTCATACCTGTGTTATTACTCTTCTAAGTGTGACGATATAAAATTTCCGTCATTATAAAATGTGACAATATAAAATTTCCGTCTGAAAAAAAACAAGAACCTGAGCCATATATAGGTATTAGAAAATTATAGTTTCTGTAAAGTAAAAAATTCATATAATAATGAACATTAATATAGATAAATTTACACTTTAGTAGTAGGCTTGCCGCGATAGACGGTGTTGACGGTGATACCGGTGTTAAGCCGCAACACCGGTTACGTCACTTGCCCACCGCGTCACCAACCCCCACCGTCTTTTTGATTTTTTTATAGTAATAAAAATAATTAGTTCAGTAAAAGAACAGACACTACAATTAAAAACTGAACGCGGATGCTCAATGCAGTTTACTCCGAATTGCCGCTATTTGAAAGTTAAAGTAAAATGGGCACACCGCTTTTACAAGCTATTTGAAAGCGAGGAAAAGAGGGAACGCCCCCGCCCCCGTGGTGATACTGGTATTACCGGTGTTGTCACACGTCGATTAACCGGTGGGAAAATTTCCTCACCGTCACAACCAATGACTCTTACAGTCATTCATTACTGGATTTTTACAAATATTTTTTATTACAAATTTTACCCGATCAAATATTTTAGAGCTTGGCATAATAAAAAATTTATATTCTTTCTTAAAATGTCCATGACATTTTAGGCTTTTATTAATTTACATTACTTTTCCAGGTCTAGAAATCATACTTTTAAACAAAATGTTGTTGAGGAGGGTAAATTAAAATATGAAATATCTTGATTTTTAGTTATTTTAACATATTTAAAGCATGTTTCTTCCTAATTTAAATATTTTAAAGTTATTTTTAGGCCCTCTTGGAAGCATAGCAACATCCTGATATTCTTTGGCGCTTCTGAAAAATCAAGCACCACTAATATGTTCTTATTTTACCTAATTACACACTTTTTTCTCCACAGATTTACAAATCCACCAAATGCAACGACATTCAGCAGAGTGGCAACTGTCCCAGAGGGCCGTTCTGTGCTTTTGCTCATGTAGAAAGTAAGCTTACATTTTGTAAAGTTAACATGTGATGATACACTCTACATTGTATTGGATGTTTAAGATCTTACATAATAACTTATCCAATAGATATCAATGTATTGTAAATGCGAATGTGATGATTGTGTGAGATATTCCTTTTTCTTGTAGTTTATATCATGATTGTGTGTCATTTCTGTTTTGTTTCACAGAAGTGACTGTCAGTGATGAGCAGCTGGCCGCACAATGCAGTTCACCTCCTCTAGATACTTCCTGCTCTGCTCTCTTAGAAGACTTCAGCCAGAGAGGGCCGAGTGCCAGTACAGAGGAAGGGCTGCTGGGAAGGGTTCTGTTTGAGGAGTCCTCCAGTCTTGATGCCAGTCCAGGAGGAGAGGGGGGTTATGGGAAAGCCCCTGGGTTTGAGAGGGAAGACCAGGTATAGCAATACAATTTTATTCATTCTTTTATTTGAAGGCGTCAGTTAGAAGACTTCTGTTTTTGAGATAAACCCAGTGTTCCCTTTGTCATACAAAACCTAGGAATTTTAAAGTTATGACTCCAGACTAGGAACAGGTATAAAAATTAGTAATCTTAAAATTTCTAAAGGTAAATTTTTGCTCTGCTCTGCTCTAAAATAGTTATTTGTCTAGAAATACATTATAATACACTACAAAAGTTTGGGGTCAGTAAGAATTTTTTTTTCTCACCACGGCTGCATTTATTTGATCAAAAAGTAAAAACACTAATATTGTGAAATGTATTTTAAAATGTCATTATTTCTGTGCTGGAAAAGCTGAATTTTCATCAGCCATTACTCCAGTGTATAGTGACTTCATAAATCATGCTACTATGCTGATTTTGTGCTCAAGAAACATTTCTTCTTCTTATTATTATCAATGTTGAAAACAATGTGGGAATTTTCAGGTTTATTTGTTGAATGGAAAGTTCAAAAGAACAGTGTTTATTTAAATTATAAATCTTTATATTTTAGTGTCTGCAAAAGAAAAAACAAAACAAAACAAAAATCTTTTGAACGGTAGTGCAGTTCTTTCTTTTTCTGTGACATTTGAATAAACTCCACAAATTGACATAATGAAAAACTAATATTTTAGCATAACTTTAATATCTTTCATACAGGCCAAACATAAAAGTTTTTTAATGGAACAGCGCATCAGAGACATTTCATCCATGCACAGCAAACAGGTACTGAACACCTGCCGATTCAAAACAGACGTTAATGAAGATTACAAATAGGCCAAGGACCTTTTGCAGTATTCCATGTTGTTTGTTTTCAGGATTTATTGGTGTTTCTGCCTGTCGGCAGTCCTCTCAGTATGTCCTCCAGCATACCTTCCAGTCTGGCAGCCACCCCACCCAGCCCTGCACCCCCCGGCCCGTCTTCAGGCATGAACGCCAACGCTCTTCCCTTCTACCCTACAAGTGACACGGTGGAGTCTGTAGTGGGTGAGTGGGAGATAAAAATTTATTTAATTTATAAAATGGTATATACATTTATTTTATACTTTTTATTTTATTTAACTTTATATGTGTTATTCTTAAATATTAAATATGATTATTTCCTCACCCTCATTCCAAATTTGATTTATTTTCTTCTATGGAACACAAAATGTCGTTCTAAGAATTGGTGTTGTTTTATTAATTTTTGTTTAGAATTATGTGCAAAAAGTATACATAATTGAGCTTTACTGTTGAGTAGAATGACGTAAGACTTCTGTATTTTTAAAACCACGTCTCTTTCTCCTTTTGACTAGAGTCTGCATTGGATGATTTAGACCTGAATGACTTTGGAGTCTCTGCGCTTGAGAAAAGTCTGGAGAGTTCAGCTCTACCCAGCATGGGCCTCATGTTGGGTTGGTGACGAGTCTTAGCAAAAAAAGATGATAGCGTTGCTGCTGTAAGCTGTAGTGTCACTGCAAAAATTCAGCATTGACATCCATCTTCAGTTCTGCTTTTGTAATCATTTTTCCTTAGGAGGCAGTCAGTTACAGAGTTCAGCACCTGTCAACATCCCTGGCTCGCTCAGTAGCCCCTCCCCTTTCAGATCACCCTCACCTTCTCCACCAATCAGAGCCCACCACTCTCCATTCCTCTCTGCACAGTTGCCACAACCCAGCCAATCAGAGAGCAGTTTTTTGGGGACCTCCCATGGTTCTTTAGGTTTGTGTTGTCAGCTGTAATGTCAGCTGTAATTTTTTTTCCATATTTTTCCATTTTTGCTCATTCTTGGGATCAGAATGAGTTTATAGCTCCTGTGATGTATCTAGGTCAACATTCTTGTTTACAAGCGCAGTGAGAGTATATAGCAGTCACATGTAACATTACATTTAATTACCAGTTGTCTTTTTAATACAAAGCAGTGTTGTTTTGCTGTAGTGAACTGGATAGATTGTGTGGCGGATGCAATCAAACATGATAGCTTTGTTTGGTTTTTGTAGGTTTAAATGGCATGAGCAGCAGTATTTGGGAACATTTTCCGACAGGCCAAAGTTCGCCAGGTACCCCTCCTGCCCTGCTTTCCACAGGGAGCATGTACACCGAGGCATCACGTCTCAAACAGGAAGTGGAGGAGGCACACAGGGTGCTGAAACACTGGGACCACAGCTGGAGACAGATGGCTCAGGTCAGACTCCATCTGTGTTTGCGTGTGTACCTAAAAGACCATATTTCACACTTTTATAATGTTTTATTTTTTCTCACTGATGTTAGACAAGGTTTCTTGTGCCTATCTAGTTTTCCATGACCTCATTTTTCACCCTTTTCTGATTCAGAGAATTAATCAGGTATGATATTGGTTCTGTATCTTTAAGACTTCCACGTGGAAATATGATTTGCTATCCTGTTTGCATATAAAAAATACCAACATATTCCAGGCTGTTGTTCATCAGGTTTTTGAATAATAATTAAGTGCTGGGCAGTCATATGTTAATACATTCATGGTTGTGATGACAAGATTTCGGAACAACCTGCGTATTTATATTTCTAAATAATACAAAAAACATAGTAAAAGAACACATTATGCTATTTTTAATTTTGTAAATTTAGATTTAAATTTACAAATGTATACCTTTTTATTATAATTTTTTTTTTAAATCTGAACAACAATTATTACCATGACATTTACTTGATACTGTGCTTTAAAATTTCATAATTTTTTTAAATGATCATTTTTAATGAAAGAGGGGAAATGTGTTTCATTGTTATGAAAATAATGTCACTTTGTAAAAACTCTCAACTTTCTAAAAATAGGATTCATTTGTTAATGAAAAATGTAATTTCTTTCTTTTTTTCCTTTCGATTCTGGTAAAATACGACCTAGACATTTCTTTAATGTTCACCTAATAATTTGAAGTACCAATGGAGCCCAGTTAGATGAATAATAAAACATGTTGGATTGCATTGAATCTCTCCTCTCTCTTCCCTCAGGCTGTGTTTAGGAAGCAGAGATTATATTGTGTATCTTGCGATGAGATGGGATCAGTGACGTTGCCATGCCAACATGGCCTGCACTGCAAACGATGTGCTGCCTCGACAGAATGCCCGCTGTGCACTGAACACCAGCAGAGCATGAACATCCCACAGTCATAATCCTAATCTGCTATAATCCACACACTAGACAGAAACCCTGACCCCTCACAGGATCTCATTCACATTTCACTCAAATTCTCATTACAACTATGGCTAAATGTATCCTATAAAGCCCAAAGCCTTATCTTAGCTAAAAGCTGAGACTTAATTGATAAATATGATCTAGTTTGATTCATATTGACCATATCAATAAGACATGCTATGCCATATTCCTTACGTTAGCACGCAGTCAGTCCTAGACCTCAGTGGGACCATTTTATTTTCAAAAAGAAAGAAAATTACTAGAGAACCAGTTTGTGATATTTTCATGTTTATTGTGGGGACAAAACATCACGGATACAGTATAATAATATGCTTATGTCTCATTGTAATCATAATTTTCCATATCTTTTAAATGGGAACAGAGCAAACATAACTTGTATAAGTATTCCGACCTGGTCGAGCGCTAATAATAATGCTTACATGACAACACATTTCGAGATTTTAAGGAAATATTTAAGTGAAGATCATGATACCAAATTGCCATATTCCCTGTATGCTTTATATAGAATCATAACACATACACATATATAGTAAGACAATCCTGTTATTTTTTAAAAACACGTTTAAATTGAAATGTGGAATGTCCTTCCAGAACATTCTGAAATGTTTACAGTAGAAATGCAGTTTGTGCATCTTCAGTGCAGCTGAAATTATAATTTTTTCCCTAGACATGGGGAGATTTCATAATACAGATTAGTATAGTTAGTAACTATATAGGAAATTTACAATTGCATTTATAGGATTTTTTAAAAGGAGAAATTCCAGGGAACTTGCATACAGCAAGATGGAAAATAAATACGGTTTTGCAGCTTTTTCATTCTCAGGTTTTTTTTTGTTTTTTTTTTAAAGAGTCATGGTAATCTGGAGTGCAAGAGCAAGAACGCAAACACTCTTTTATGTAATTCTTATAATGTGCATATTTTATTTAATGCATTGATTGAATAATTTGCCTGTTTACTAAACCAACAGCACGTTCCCAGCTGCAGCTTACCTTTCATGTAGAGGGTTTTATGCGAACACATGTCCAACAACAGTGGAGAAGAGGATAAATTCATGTGCACTGATTACCAAACATGAGAGCAGTCATAAACTCTGGCTGTCAGGAGAGGACTTGACTTCAGTGTGTTTCAATTTATTTGGATGATTTTATTTGAATTCAGTTTGAAGGCACAGTTATATAGGATGCTCAACTAATGACTTCCTTTGAAACAGAGCTTCACTGTGAATTCAGCAATCACCTGCTCAGTTTTGTTCATATACAGTGTTTCAGTCAGATTTTTTTTGTAAAAGACAATAAACAAATGTATATTTTTGGATGAAAATGTTGTATGTTTATTTTTTAATATCAAATAATAATATCATCATTACACTTCCTTACAATAATTAAAAGACTCTACATTAAATAATATTTTTTATAACAAATCATAGACAGAAAATGGGAAAAAATAATATTAATTTGGTTGTTTTTGTTCATCTTTTTGTCCTCTTAGGTTTCTTGAGACTTCTTTTCTCTTTGTCTGCGTAATTTAACGAAGGCCTGAGCTTCTCTCTCGCCTTTCCTGGCCTCAAGTAACTTCAAGGTATTTTCACCTACAAAAACAAGAGGCATGAGATAGCATGAAGTCATATTGAATTGCTACATATGACATCTAAAATACTTAAAAAAAAAAAAAAAAAAAAAAAA